GTTTATTGACACTATGCACCTCCCCTTGGGTAACTAGCATACAGATGCCAATAGGTGGCAATAAATAGTATACATGCAAACTAAAAAAACAAATGCAGGTGGCCTGACTTTTGCAGCCATAACAATATGTTTGGAGATAAGCGATTTGTTCTTCTTCCCATGAGAATATCCTAACAGAACATCCAACTGAGATCACATCTTTGAAGTCAGCAGGCTGGCTTAGATAGGCTGATGGCATTATCGGTGTAGTGTGATACGCATGTTGGTCCAAGAACTTCATTTGTTAACATTCATGGAGGCCCTTGAATATTTGTACACACAGACACAAAAACCAACAGCGTGGAGCTTTGTTGATTGTCTATGTCGCCTGATTAATATGTGGTTATTTTATGACACCTTTATGACAGGTTTGTGAAAACTGCCCTGGGGTAGGCCTTTTGTTGGCAAAAGCATTCCCCCAAATGTTGATTTCCTGGTGTGCAGGTATGACATTTCCCAGAATTCCACAGCCTCCGTGCAGCTGCAGGGTGCCAGTTTGGGGAAGGCTGATGTAGGTCTTACAAATAAACCTTTCTTCCAGAGGCACCCATGAGGAGAGGTCTAAAAAGACAGGATGGGCTTTTAAAAAGCCATCACTGTGTGATTAAAGCCCCATCATCAACAAGGCAGTCACGGTTGTGTGATAGATGACACCCTCCCCCTCACACGCATGAATGCCCTTGTTCTCTTCATAATTTATCAGTACTTGGGGCCTAACATTCTTCTTTTTGCATTCTGAGATGTCTGTTTCTTTCTGCTGAATAGTTGGCCAAAATATTTTTCAGAAAATTAGATTGAATCTACAGTTCCCTGGGATGAACACTGTAGCCGCCATATCTGTTTTAACTAAAAAGGACATTACGGTCTATGGGATAAAGAATCAGTGATATGAACGTTTTTCATAAAAGCAGGAAGATTTCATGATCCGACAATGGAATGTAACACAATTTTTACATTCTAATAAGGATGTAAAGCTTTTATTAAACAGGAAGCTATTATATAAAAATATATTTGGGTTTATATACAACTTATATAGCTGTTATTATAAACATGATATATTTGGGTTATCCTTTGACTCATGAATCACTTCTGTCTTTTAAAGATAGGAGAAAGGGGTGTGAACCTTTCTGGAGGTCAGAAGCAGAGAATCAGCTTAGCTCGTGCTGTGTATGCTAACAGAGATATTTATTTATTGGATGATCCTTTGTCAGCGGTCGATGCTCAAGTTGGAAAGTATATTTTTGAAGAATGCATTAAAGAAGCTCTTAGAGAGAAAACCATACTCCTTGTAACTCATCAGCTGCAGGTAACGAAGAGCTGAAAGTGGTGGGAAACAATTTGAATAGGAAACAACTATGAGGAATGGAGCCATAAATCAGAAACACACCTAGGATTGGCCTGTTTGGGGTGAAACACCTTCAATAATCAGTTTTACAAGATGGATTCTGATTTTTTTTAGAAGTTTTTAAACGTTTTTTTAAAAACCTTTTTATGGTTTATAAGATGCTTTTGGGTTTTTTAAAAATAATTTTAAAGCCTTTATTGCACTGGGGCCTATAATACATTTTTAGTATTATTGCAGACAGTCTCTCATTTTTTCCCCAGAATATTCCATTCCATTCTCTCTCCCCCCACCCTAATTTTTTCCTCTTTCTCAGTCAGTATTTCTTGAATACTGACCCTGTTCAGTGTTACTCATCACTGAGCAGTTTTCCACCACCCCCTCAATCTCCCCCCCATTTTTTTTTTAATTCTTGCAAACCATTAGAGACTCTTCAGAGCTGCTAGTATTTTCCTCTTGTGTGAGAACATTCACTCCATAATGACCTACACTTGGAGAGTAAGTGTGCTATTACTTTAGAAGTAACAAGCATTCTGGTTTTTATGCCTCTGGAGAGAGGCAATTGCACAGTAAGTCTAACATACAGAAAATGAATCAGAGCATTTGGCAATGTATTATAACAGTGGGGGCAGCATGGTTTGGTTCTCAGGCAGTGATTGTTGGTTGGAGAATTGAGGTCAATGATGATCCATCCTATTCATAGTAGATGCAATGTTGGCAGGTCTGTTCTGAGTTTGCATTGCCCAGATCATATTTTTCATTGTGAAAAGACTTCTCCAAAACTGTTCCTGTAGGTCTTTTTGGCTCTTTCCCTTTGGTTCTTTCCTCCTCCCCTCTTGAAAAATAAAATAACATCACCGCACCAGCAGGGGGCACAGAAGGCATGAAATTCTCTTTAGAGTCATTGATCCATTTAATACCGATATATAGCACAGAAGAACAGAAACAAAGATACTCATTCTAAAGAACGGGGAGAAATTGTATTGTTTGACCTAAACACAGCCTTTGGGGCTTAGAAATTTTATGCTCTTCCCAAAGTGATAGCAATTTGTTGAGATCTCTTTCTACAATAGTGCTGCTGTTTCAGCCAGATCTAAGAAATCAGACTATGCCGTATAAACATGTTTCCTAAAGTTCACTCCCTTTTTCTGTTGAACAGGACTCTTCTCTGTCTCTATATCTTTATATAACCAACACTGTCTGTCTCTGTCTCTTTCCCATTGTGTGTGTGAGAGAAAGAAAGACTGAAGTACGTATAAATCAAGCAAAATCCATTTTGTTGATTTGATTGAAATTTGTGATCCGATTCAGTTCAGGCTTCCAATTTGATTTCAAAAATTGTTTCAATTCACTTTGAATGTCTAAGTGATTCAGCCAGTTTGATTCAAACTTCCAAATTTGATTAGACTAAAGGCTTCTGTGCATACACAGAAGTCTTTCAACTGATCCAGATCAATTCAGTGGTATCGACTTGATTGGATGATTGCAACTTGACTTGCTGATTCAGTTCAGAAATCTGGTTCGATTCAGAGATGCAATTCTCTGAACTGAAATTCAAATCAAATTTCTAAACTGAATACTCCTATGCTGCTATGATACAACATACACACACACGCTATATCTATCCATCTATTTCTATTTTTTAATTGCTGTCTGAATCCATATATATATTTCAGAACCAACAATCTGAACAAACTCTCCAACTAGGAGCAGCAAGACAACTGAAAGTGTGTATGAGAATAAGCAGAACAAGAGTTTTAAAAATGGCTTGCTTAACATGCACATCAAATCCAGGAGTATAAAGACATAGGTTTTTGCCTCATTTCAAAAGAGAAAGGAAAGACTGAGTCCATAGACCCTCTGCAGGGATGATGAAAGGGTGGGGGGGGGGGTTTCCAAAGGATGAAGTGAATCCATCCATGTTTTTGGACTGCATATAGAAGCAGCACTAATTTGAGAGAGATGACCTGCTGACACCTCTTAGTTTGTATCAGATTCAAAGAATCGTTTTAATTTTAGCGTTCCCCAAACATTGCCGTCTTGAGATATCTCTGATTTAACAAGGGTGGCCAAAGGAAGACGTGTTCCTTTTCTTCCTTAGCCTCTTGCACAGATTCATAATTTGCCTATAATAAGCTCTAAACTGTTATCCACCAAACAAGAACATGTAAACGTGGAATCCTTTGCAAGGGCCTGAAATATAAATCCCACAACCTGCTAATTAGTTTACTGATTCTTTTCTCTTTCCTTAATACCAACAGTATCTACGGTTTTGTGATAACATCGTCTTACTAGAAGATGGGGAGATACGTGAAAGTGGTACCCATGCAGAGCTGATGGAAGCCCAGGGCCGTTACGCTCACCTCTTTCATAGTCCGCACACAGAAGACACAATTGTGGGTTTTAGTCCTTAGTCCTTATGTAGTGTTGCTGCCCATTACCATCCCAAAATTAGTTCTCTTGGATCCTGCACTACTGGAAGCTGGTTCTAAGAAGAACTTTGGTCTGATCCAGCATATAACTGAAGCTCTGTGATTTCTAACAACCCATTCTGTAGGATATAGAAATTCATTGGTAGGGTTCATATTTTAATGTGTAATTCATACTTCCCAAACATGCGTGCATTTAAGAATGTGGTTTATGCACCAACATTGGCACTTTTCTGAGATTTCTAATTCAATCTGCATCTCACAAAGTATGCAAACATAGATGAGGAGAAAGTTCACAGCAGCAGCAGCATCTGCGTGTAGGCAAGGGGGGTCAGACTGATGCAGCCAGTATCACAGCATTGCGATGCAAGCCCCAACTCTCTTCTGCATGCATTGTGATATCCCAGGCATGTCCCAAAAGGACAGTTTATGGCACAACACCACAATGCTTCAAGATATTGCAGACACCTCTGGTGCATGCAGAAATGACAAAAAGAGAAGTGTGTGCAGAAAGGCATGGCTTTAGAGATAATCATGTGCAAAAGAAGTGCACATAGTAATGTGAGTAACAAGTCCACTTACTGTTTAATCCCAACTTCCAGAAGCCCTAGCTAGTACGGCTAATAGCAATGTGTGATAGGAATTGTAATCTTAACAATATCTGGATGGCTATATGTTGCCCATCTCTGCTGCAGTCGAATTCATGGCATTTATGGCACAGTGATCATGATAGTTTTAGGGTAGACCCTGGATGAAAAAGGCAATGAGAACAATGGCTGGAGAACAATATCAGGAAGTAACAGCCATGCTGAGCTTATGGGCTTCCAGGAGACATCTGCTTAGGCACTGTAGGAAGAAAGCTGCTGAACTAAACCAGCTTGGGGCTGAACAAGCAAGGGTATTTTTAGGTTCTTAACAGATGAACTCAGAACTCAGAACAGTCAATGGTCTTTAGAAGCAATAGCTAAAATAACGTCCCTTGGTCAGGGACACTGTTCCTTCCAGTATCAGATGCTGGGGAAAAGCAAGAGTCACTTTTACGTGTGACGGGCAGCTATATAAATATGAGGAAGGAAGGAAGGAAGGAAGGAAGGAAGGAAGGAAGGAAGGAAGGTTGGAAGGTTATTATCCTCATGACCTGTTTATGGGCTGTCCTATGGGATAGACAGATGTTGTAGTTGATCTAGCTGGGCTTTTTCATTCTCAAATGAAAAATTCTGAATTTGTTTACTTTAGATTCCTGACAAAAAAGTTCTTTATTCAAATGAATCAATGAAAAGGGCACAAGTTCAGGACCGTGGTTCAGATGTCTCTTTCAAAGGAGTGGAAAATCCTGGTAAAATCAATTCATATCCTCCTTTATTTATTTATTTTTTTAATGACCACAAGTATTAGCTTGACCTTTATTTTTTCCCTTCCATATCCCTAGCATTTGATAAGGCTGGGGCGGAAGTTCAGGACCACGGTTCAGATGTTTCTTTCAAAGGAGTAGAAAAACCTGGTAAAATCAATTCATATCCTCCTTTATTTATTTATTTTTTTAATGACCACAAGTATTAGCTTGACCTTTATTTTTTCCCTTCCATATCCCTAGCATTTGATAAGGCTGGGGCGGAAGTTCAGGACCACGGTTCAGATGTTTCTTTCAAAGGAGTAGAAAATCCTGGTAAAATCAATTCATATCCCCCTTTGTTTATTTATTTTTTTAATGACCACAAGTATTAGCTTGACTTTTTTTTTCCTTTCCATATCCCTAGCATTTGATAAGGCTGGGGCAGAAGTTCAAGACTATGGTTCAGATGTTTCTTTCAAAGGAGTAGAAATACCTGGTAAAATCAATTCATATCCTCATTTATTTATTTATTTATTTATTCATTTTTAATGACCACAAGTATTAGCTTGACCTTTATTTTTT